AACCTCTACCCAATGGATCCCAGTAGCACCCCTACCCCCAGCTACAAACACCAAAAATGCCTCCAGATATTGCCACATAACCCTTGGGGAGCAAAATTCCCCCCTCCCTCACTGAGAACAGTTCTAAGATGCAAAGGATTTTCACAGTAAGACTTACCGTATTTTGCCATGTATAATGCGCACCCACGTTTGGTGCGCATCATACATGGGATTATTATGGTCGTTATTATACTTATGTGTAATGTGCATCCTTATTTTTTCCTCAAAACTCTGGGCAAGAAGCGCACATTATACATGACAACATATGGTATCTAGGTTTGGGGTTCAATCCCCACATTGAACTCTATCCCTCTCCCTTCCTCCCTAATATCAATAAAGAGATAAAAAATATGAACAATTTTCTCAAAGATCATGCTTTTTCACTTCTATCATGTTGCCTCCAAAAAACACCACCAGATGCAAGGACAAGCAACCTACCTCCTACTACAGGGAAAAAGTAATTCACCATAAAAGTAAAACAAGTCACTACAAAACAAAACTTCATGCCTGGCAGAGAGCATAGTCTTTGGAGTCAGACCAGGGATGGAATCCCAGCTCAGCCTCTAGAGCTGTGCTTCTGTGGACAAACCCCCAATGCCTCTCTTGTTCTATCATCTTTCAAAAGGGGTTAATACTCACTCCGCAGGGTTACTGTGAGGATTAGAGATAATGCATGTTACCCACAGTGCCTGACATAGAGAAGGCATTGAATAAGTATTAGAGAAAAAGTCAACAACATTCCAGTGAAAACACTGTTACAGGTGTAAATAATCAGAGAAGTAGGTGGTACCATTCCATTTAACAACAGACTCCCATGAGGAACTTGAGCGATTTTTAATTATAGTCAATTAGGAGATGTGTCTTTTTAAAAATTTTTTTTAGAGAAAGAACTTTTCTTAAAAAAAAAAAGATTTATGTATTTATTTTTAGAGAGGGAAGGGAGGGAGATAGAGAGAGAGAGAGAGAGAGAAACATCAATGTGCGGTTGCTGGGGGTCATGGCCTGCAACCCAGGCATGTACCCTGACTGGGAATTGAACCTGTGACACCAGGAGATGTGTCTTTTTAAAAAGTGTACTTATAAGGTCAAATATTACCCTCTGTTTAAAGCCAAACCTATTGTGGTAGGTAGACCTGGGGTTTTGTTAAAATAAAATGGTCAAATATCGACAAAGACAACCCTAAGTTTTCTGCAACAGAACACGTATGTATACATTTTTTAAGTTTTTATTTATTTATTTTTAGAGAGAGTGGAAGGGACGGAGAAAGAAAGGAAGAAAAATATGAATGTGTGGGTGATCGTCGTGCACCCACTACTGGGGACCTGGCCCACAACCCAGGCATGTGCCGTGACTGGGAATTGAACTGGCAACCTTTTGGTTCACAGGCCAGCACTCAGTCCACTGGACCACACCAGCCAGGGCAGAACATGTGTATTTTTAAACTGTCTGTAAGTAGCTTTAAATATCACAGTACTCTTTTTTTTAAAGCCTAAAACATCCTCAGTTAGAGGGTAAGGCCTAAAGCACCTTTACCAGCCTATATTTATCCCTTGTTTACTGATGAGAAAACCCAATTTTAGGTTGTGAAACCTGCAAGTGAAAGAACAGAGTCATGACTCCATATACACTCAGTTAATTCATTAATTACTTAGATCTTTCCTGAGGACCTTTTTGACAGACACTGCTGGGTGGTAGGGGAAAGAAAAATTAATTTGTAAGTGTCTGTATTTAAGATACTCCCAGTCTAATAGGAAAGACTGGTGTATGAACAATGATAATAAAATGTGCTGAATTGGTCTCAGTTCACCTGGGGGAACCGGGAAAAGCTTAGTTGAGGAAGAGAGTAATGTTTGAGCTAAGACTTGAAGAGCAGGAAACCTCAGGTGAATGAGGGCTGGGGGTGACAGAGGAGAGAGATACCCCAGCGGAAGTCCAGCAAGTACAGATACAAGCGAATACAGAAGACCAAGGAAGGCAGGTAATTCAGTATGACTACTACAAGGAGGATCTGCGACTGAGACAAGGCTGGAAGAAGTAGACCAGGGACAGGCTACAGAAGCCCTTTTATACTTTGCAAAATACGTGAGAAGGTTTTCAGAATTGCATTTTCGTCTCTGACAACACTATGAAGGATGGGTTTAAGGATGACCCGCCAAAACTTTTGAGAGTGATAAAGGATGTGAACAGTGGGCATGATGTAAAGGGAGTCAGAATCTGTTAACTTTCTAAAAATTTTTGAGATAAAATGCACATAGCAAAATCCATCATGTTAACTATTTTAAAGTATATAGTCCATCGCTGATTCATTTTTTAAGTAATTTATCTCCTGCTAGGCCCCCCTGCTTCTAGGTCAGTGAGAGATTAAATGAATATAGCCCTGGCTGGTGTGGCTCAGTGGACTGAGCACCAGCCTGCAAATGAAAGCTCATGGTTTGACTCCCAGTCAGGGCACATGCCTGGATTGCAGGCCAGGTCCCTGCAGGAGGCAGCCCCATAGCTGTTTCACTCACACATCGATGTTTCTCCCCTTCTCTGTCTCCCACCCTTCCTCTCTCTCAAATAAACATAACTGAACTAATAGAAATACTAGTATTTAAAAATCTTCACTTTTTTTAAAAAAGAATAAGTGGTCACTGTAGAAATTCAGACAATACCAGTACATAAGGCAAAAAGTTAAAGTGTTTCCCTATTTTTAAAAAAATATTTTATTTATTTTTAGGGAGAGGGGAAGGGAGGGGGGAAGAGAGAAAGAAATATGAATGTGTGGTTGCCTCTCATGCGCCCCCTATTGGGGACCTGGCCTGCAACCCAGGCTTGTGCCCTGACTGGGAATGGAACCAGTGATTCGTTAGTTCACAGGTTCGCGTTCAATCCACCGAGCTAACCCAGCCAGGGCTAAGTCACAACTGTTTGAACACTGTGTTAAAATTCCTGTTTGGATTGTTTAACTGTGAGGAAATACTGTTATCCCTTCCACTTGCTAAAGCCAGTAAATTCCACAAGGAGCAATCTTAGTTTTGTTTATTTCTCAATACTAAGGTCCTAGGACAGTGCCTGGCATGCTTGGTATTTGGTAAATGACTGAAAATGGTTTAATAGCTTCCGCCTCCGTAAATTGCTTTGAATCAATTGTTTGGACAATGTAATAAACCTGGCATAGTTTCCCGGTTCAGTTTAATTCTTATATCTCTGAAATGCAAATGCTATAATCAGTTCTTACGTGTCTCTAACGGAGTTACATCTACTGACAGCAGAACACTCAGATATTCTACCCGCTGGACTTAAAGTCGAACTTCCCCCACCAACTGATGGGGCCCATACACATGCACAGGCCTAGAGAAATCAGGTTATCCCATACCCCACCCAACTGTCAGACTCTACATCCACAGAAGACAACGAGTTAGTTTCTTATCTGGCAAACTCCACAACTCCAAAAACGGCAGAACTGCAGCCACCAAAGACACAGAACCGACGGGGAAAGGCGGTCGGGAAAGAGAGAACAGACTCTCTCGAGCTCCACTCACTGGGAAAAGCCCGTGTTGCGGGAAACACCGTCCTTACCTCCTTCTTTCTTTGGGCAGAGGCTAAGGGAACCTCATAAAGCAGCAGCAGCGCCAACGCAATGGTTGCAGAGACACACCAAGGCCATGAATGCGCTGCCATGTTTGTTCCTCTCCCTCCTAAAAGCGAAACTTTCCTCGGGCTGAGTCTGCGGGTTGGGCGTGAGAACAAGCAACTAAAGCCCTTGGCCCTGCTCATTGGTCTAGCTCGGCCCTACAGGGCGAGCTTTCACATTACGTCACTGCGCTCTACCGTGAGACGCCCGCTAAAAGACGGGTCACTTCTCATTGGTCTGCGTTAACCAATAGAAAAAGGATAATCTGGAGGGTTTTCATTGGTCCGCTAAGGATAATGGAGCGCCCCTTCTTTTTACCTAAGGAGGTCGTGCTTTGCGGCTCTTCAATCGGGCGTGCGCAATCGTGAAGCTTTGCGGCTTTTTGAAGTTCGAACTGGCCTAAGGTGGATAGGATTTTTTTCACGGAGACTCATTTAGAAGTCTTTGAAACCCACCTCTTTCATGTAATATCCTAGAAAAAGTGGACTTATGTGATTGGACTATCAGATGTGATTGATGGCATGATAGCATCTTTCTTCGTCCCTCATTTTGCCGTCAAATTATTTCAAATAAAATAATTTTTAAAAGCAGGAAAGCAAAAACATACTTAATATCACTGAGGGCGATTTTTACAAGTGACCCAGCCCTGCCTGGTGTGGCTCAGTTGAGAAAAAGATCGCTCACTGATTCCCAACGAAGGCACGTGTCTGGGTTGAGGGTTCATTCCCGGCTGGGGGCTGCGAGAGGCACCCGATTGATGTTTCTCTTGCACGTCAAAGTTTCTTTCTCTGTTTCTCCTTCCTTCCCCTCTCTGTAAAAAATAAATGAAATATTTTAAAAAAGAGAACGTGTAAGAATTGTACTCTGAATACTCAGCAAGATTCTACAATCAACAATTTGTTAAATTGGCTTCATCACATATTTATCCACATTTATGAATTCTTTTTTATTATCCTTGTATCCTTTCTCTAAATTTAAAATTGTTTAAAAAATAAAAGTTAAACGACTTAGTATGTAGTGATAGGAGGCAAAAAAATCAAAGAAGTGAGGGAAGTTTGGGTGGAACAGGAAGAATTGCTAGTGCGGAGCGAGACACAAACTCAAGCATCTGAAACACTACGTATCTCGAAGCAGGGTCTCAGCTCTCTTCTAAAGGACCCTAAGCCTGGGTTCAAGGTTGGGGGGGTAGGTGTCTCATTCTTCAGTAAAAGACATCGTATGTCATTTGTAAAGCCTGAAACTACGTTTCCCAACAGGCATTTGTCTTCCGTGTTTTAAAGAGGTTACAATTTCTATAGGTTTTCACAGATCGCGCGAGATTTCAGTAAATCTCATTGAAGCACCCTGCCGGAAGCCATTTTGTTTTTCAGGGTTCTTTGCAAGGGTTCTTTGCAAGGGTACTTGACGCGAAGTTCCAGCAAACCGGCAGCTACAGTTGCTGCAGTTCACGCTTCAGCTTCACGATGTTTCCGTTGGCCAAAAACGCGTTAAGTCGTCTCCCAGGTGAGAAAATTTGTAAACAGGTGATTTCCAATGACCTTTTATCCTTTTGCCCTCGTAGTCTTCCCTTCCCTTTTCCTCCACCTGCATCCTGACCTTCTATTCTAAATGGGTGGTCTCTCGCTTCGCCCAAATTGGAAAGATGTCCTTAGCATTATTAGCTTAATTACCCAGTGTTATTGTTGCCGTTCACAGCTCTTTCAGTTACCGGAATCATACCTTAGCCTTTTTTAAATTATTCAGTAGTAACCTACGATTTCAGGGAAGAATAGGCTTGATGGACACCCCTTTGTTCCTTAAGTAATTTCGTTAATTTTTAGCTTTGTGGGTACATTTACCCCCAAATAGAATTCCTGTAACCATAATGGAAGGAAGCTGTAAATCTAGCTCTTCATGTGCTTTTATCACAGGGAGACAACCTGAATGGCAGTCCAGCAGCTTTTTGTTATTTGTGGGTTATTCCTCATCGAAAAGTTAGGAAGGTGCAGGGTAAATTTGACACCAGGATCATGTATTTGGGATGCACTGGATTGGAGAGAGGAAAGTCATTTCCATGATTGATGTGCACTGAAGGTGACCTTGAGTAAAGTGAGTAGTGTTTTTTTTTTAAACGAAAGTGACCTCAAGCAATTATGTAGCTTTTTTAGCCACCTTTTTCTTTTCAGTTTACAGAGCAGTTGGAGTTATAACTAGATGTATAACTAGCTTGTGTTCTGAACACTCAAACAGCTTTGACTATAACCAAAAAATAGTTGCTCAGCTGGGGTTTTTTTTTTTTTTTTGTAATCCAAAATCCTCATCTATTACCTGTTTCACATTGTGCAGACCTCTCTGAACCTCATTTTCCTTCTTTGTAAAATACGGGGTTATTAAACAAAACCTACCCCATCAAGTTCTTGAGGGTTATGAGATTACTAATAGGTGGTAACTAAACCAATTCTTGTCGCGGAGAAGTCTAAAGAAATCTACTTGGGAGACCTGTGTGTTCAGGTCATGAGGTGCTGCAGAATTGTTGGGTAATATTAATATTTTTTTTGCCCTTTGAGCAGGTAGGGCCTTGTTGTAACTCAGGAAAGGGTTTTTTGGGTTGTTTTTGTTTATTTCCAGTGTGGAATTCACAAACTCACTTGTTAACTGCTCTAGAGCAGAATATATAGTGAAATGTTTGTAAATTTGCTCATCCACGTGTAATTAACGGTTAAAAAATTATCAGGCAGTTAAGCCATTAATAAGTAGTAACTATCCTGAAATAACACTTTGTACCATGTAGAAGTAATTATATTCTTAATGTAGTGAATGGTCAAGATTTAAAGATTTTATTTCTTTTTAGAGGGAGAGGGAAAGGGAAGGAGAAAAAGAGGGAAACATCCGTGTGTGGCTGCCTCTTGCACGCCCCCTACTGGGGACTGGCCCGCAACCCAGGCATGTGACTGGGAATTGAACCAGTGACCATTTGGTTTGCAGGCTGGCACTCAATCCACTGAGCCACAGTAGCCGGGGCTGTTTCTTTAATATGCTTTCCATTAGTACATAAGTACCTTTGGGGGCTCTTAAACAATAAGAACCTGCCACTTAGATTGGAGGGGAATTTAAAAACAGCTGGGAATATGCATGTTCGAGTCTTGGCTCTTTCCCAAGCCCTCCTAAGCTCCTCCAGAGACAGTGATAGTAAAAGCAAAGTTTTAATGTGGTCATTCTGCTCAGAAACCTTTGCCTCAACCAAAATAGTGGCCCTCCATGATCCTTTCAGTTTTACCCCCTATTGCTTGTCCATACAAACAAGGGAATTAGTTTTCTAGTATACTGGGTTTTTCTGTCTGCCTCTTTTCAGATTCCCCTTCCCCACATCTATATAACAAAATCCTGCCTGGTATTCAAAGCACTTAGTCAACATTCTTCTTCCTGCCCTGGCTGGCGTACGTAGCTCAGTGGATTGAGCGCGGGCTGGGAACCAAAGTGTCCCAGGTTCAATTCCCAGCCAGGGTACATGCCTGGGTTGCAGGCCATGGCCCCCAGCAACTGCACATTGATGTTTCTCTCTCTCCCTCCCTCCCTCCCCCCTCCCCCTCCCCCTCCCCCTCCCGTCCCTCTCTAGAAATGGATGAATACAATCTTTAAAAAAAAAAATTCTTCTTCCTTGTATTACTGTGATTTGTGTTTACATGCCTAACATCCTCCTCTAGACCAGAAGTTACCTGAGGACAGGGTCTGTGTCTTCCACATTTTAATATACACCATTTCCTTTAGCATAGTACTTGTTAGTAATTTTTTTTAAAAAAATTGAGATTACTCTAGTTTTTGGAGGTCTTGGTTTTCCATTTTTAAGGTCATGAACATTTAGTGTGCTTTAATTTGACATCCGTTTTGAGTCTTTATTTTAAAGATTTTATTTATTTATTTTTAGATAGGGAAGGGAGGGAGAAAGAGAGAGAGAGAAACATCAGTGTGCGGTTGCTGGGGGCTGTGGCCTGAAACCCAGGCATGTGCCCTGACTGGGAATCGAACCTGCGACACTTTGGCTCGCAGCCCGTGCTCAGTCCACTGAGCTACGCCAGCCAGGGCTGAGTCTTTATTTTTTATGTTGAGCACCGCTGAATAAACTTTGGTGAAATTTTAAGTCATAAATATTCAAATGAATGAATAGGAGCCAAGTTCCAGAGGTAATACAAATAGCAATTTGTAGTGAATATTACTGACATAACCTGTTCTTTGTTTTCCTCCCAATACTTCATTATGAAAACTTACAGACACGCAGAAAAGTTGGAACAGTTGTATGATGGGCATCCACATACCCACCATATAGATTCTATAACTAACATTTTGGTATATTTGTTTTGTCACATATCTTTCTATCTGTCCGTCTTATTTTGATGTCTTTCAAAATATGTTACTTTTAGCTATAATATGTTTTAACATTTTTATTGAACTGTATAATACTGCACAGTTAACTTCCTTGGCTTTCTCATTTACCAATGTCAACTATACATGTTCTCTTTTTCCTGATAATTCATAGATATGCTTCTTGATATTTTTTCTTTAAGTTCGAAATATTCAGCAAATAACAGCAAGACAGATCAACCAGAAACGGACACCTGATTTCCATGACAAATATGGTAATGCTGTGTTAGCTGGCGGAGCCATTTTCTGTGTTTCTGCATGGGTATATGTAAGTACCATTGATTGATAATTTCTGGTTGAGATGTTTTTCATTCCTGTTCAGCTTCTGTGTTCAAAATGTTTTCACACAGTAGTATACATTTCTGGTTAAGAGGGACTTGAGAGATTTTCTAATGTAATCACTACCCAGTGCAGGAATTTCTTTGTCAACATTTAGCATTCATCCATCATCTGTTCTTAACATTTCCAGGAACAAGTTGTTTACTTGATCCTAAGGCAGCCAGCCCTTCCCATGATGTGTAGCTATTTTAAAAGGATCACATATTGAGTTAAAATCCACTTTCTTCATATTTTACTGATGATTCCATTGTAACAGATTCGGATCTCGTATCTGTGTATCAACCATTAGATGTTAGAAACATTGCTATCATGTATCCTGGATCTTTCAGATTAACAATCTTTTTTTTTTTTTTAAGAGAAGGAGAGAGACATCAGTCGGTTGCCTCTCACATGCCCCCAACCAGGACAGGGCCTGCAACCCAGGCATGCGCCCTGACAGGGAATCAGACCTGTGACTCCTTGATTTGCAAACTGGCACCCAATCCACTGAGCCACGCCAGCCAGGGCAACAATTTTTTTTTTGTTCTTGTTACATGGTTTCCAGGGTTTTCACCATCTTGGGTCGCTTTCCTTCACTTAATTAGTTTTTCTTCTAAAACTCTGCCCTCTGAACTGAATACAGCATTTCTGGTGGATGAGATACAAAGTGACCTGCTTTCAATATTTTAGGGGGTTTTTCCCATGCTCTAGTTACTAGTCACTGTACTTGCTGGTTAAAAGGAGGAATCTTGCCCTGGCTGGGAGGCTTAGTTGTTTGGAGTATTGTCCTGCACACCAGAAGGTTGTGGATTCGATTCCAGGTCAGGGCACATACCTAGGTTGTGGGTTTGGCGCCTGTAGGAGGCAGTTGATGGATGTTTGTCTCTCCCTCTCCCTTCCTTTCTCTAAAATCAATGAATATGTCCTCACATGAGGATTAAAAAAAATAGGGGTCTTGAAGTTATAATAAATCTACAAGTTGATTTTAAAAGGTAGGAGTCAGTGCTTGCCTTAATAAACGAAGATACTTTATAATAGGCTTTTTTCACTCTGATTTTGATCTTCCCAAGACCAGATATACTATTAAAATAAGCATGTGTACTTAATTAGAAGAGTGAACAGATGTTGAACAAACATGTGTTGGGGCACTTTTGGAGGTGAAGTGCTCCTTCATGAAGGGATATTATAAAAGTGCTTTTCCAGCAGTGTATAGGTAGCTGGGCATGAATGAATCAACATTTTGAGGAGGTACTATAAAATGTGAAATACAAACCTGGTTAATTAAATAAAGTTAAAAATTCATTTCCTTGGTCATACTAGCCACATTTTAATAACCTCTGTGGCCGTGGTTACAGTACTGGCCAGTGCGGATCACAGATTTCCTGCATCAGGAACTTCTGTTGAACAGCATGGCTCTAGAGAATTAGGACAGCGATTAGATTTGCCTGCAGAGGGCACTATATCCCGGTGAGTTTCTGTTTGGTTTTCACCTATAGAGCAGAAGAATGACTTTGTCACTTTTAAGAAGTAGTCTCCAAGGAAGAATGGATTCTGGTTTAAACATGTATAACTGACAGCATTTTAATTCTTACAGACAGCAACACAAATTGGAATAGAATGGAACCTGTCCCCTGTTGGCAGAGTCACCCCAAAGGAATGGAGAGATTAGCAGTCTTCGCAGCTGGTGCAATAATTGTCTCAAAATCAACTCACAGTTGATGCCAAGTGAAAGCACTGTGTACCCCCTAAAATATGGCATGATTGATAAAATAAAGTACATTTGAAACCTTCATTGTAGGTTTGTTTATTTCTCTTGTGAATGAAACCTTGAATGAAAGCTTGATGACTTTTCATTTATTTAACCTTTGTGTTAAGAAAATCAAAATGGTATACAACATCTTAAATAGAATTTCTACATGAGCTAGTGGGAAAGTAAAATTTGGTTATCACCTGGAAGTCGACTTCATAGTAGACTGAAATTATATTTCATGAATAAGTACTCACAGCATTATTTTAGGTCGTCTTTGAGCTAAAATGTGATATCCAGATCTTGGCTACGTCTCCTACTTTGTACCTCTTATTTATGTTTATATTTGAAATTGGCATTATTAGTTCTTTTCACTTCTGCCAGGAGAACTTGGGGTGCCACTGGGCTCAAGGTCAGAGCATTCCTATCAAATGTACTCCTAGGATGTCTCAGGACTAACTAGCTTCTTGGTTCCCTTGGCACATTTATTTTTAATTAGACCTTTAGATTTTTTAGTATACTTATCTGAGATGTTTATGGTGTTATTAAAAAATCTGTTGAATACAGTTGTTCACTTAACCCACTATCACTGAGCTCTGCACTGTTTTATTTTTTACTGAATATTGGAGTGAGACTGGTTAATAAAATTATGTAGGTTTTAGAAGTACAATTCTATAGTTCACCGGCAGTGCACTGGTGGTGGGAACACAGCTTGGTACAACCACTATGGGGAAAAGTGTGGAGGTTCCTTAAAAAATTAAAAATAGAACTGTCTTATGACCCAGCAATTCTACTTCTGGGAGTATATCCAAATAAACCAAAAACACTAGTTTGAAAGAATATATGCACCCTATGTTCCTAGCAACATTATTTTGAGTAGCCGGGGTAGGGAAGCAACTCAAGTGCCATTAACAGAGTGGATGAGAATGGAATACTACTTGGCTGTAAAAGAAGAATGAAGTCTTACCTTTCACAATAGTGTGACTTCTCTGACCACTTTGCTCCACGCCTGAAGCTGGTGCAGAAAAATATTGAATGCTAACTGAAAGATAAAAAAATCTTGTGTCTGTAGAATGTAGGCATGTGATTTACTTTAAAAGCATTGCCAATTTCAAAATGTTACTTATTGAAGGGCTATCAAGTGTTTTGAATTAGGGTGAATGTCGTGAGTCCTATTGTTAATTTCACCCTAAAACATTTTTGTGGGTGTGGTTTAGATTCCTTAAGCTTACTTAGAACTAGGTATCATGGTAGTTATAGAGGCATAAATGTTGAGTTCTCACCTTCATGACTTTTACTGGAGATATTGATAACCACTTTGTAAGCATTTTGGGGACACTGAATGGACTTCAACCACACAAAAACTTGATTTCTTGAAACATTCCCTTCTATTTGAAATCTCAGTTTAAACAATATCACAATCAGCCCTCCCTGGTGTGGCTCAGTGGATAGGGTGCCGGCCTATGAAGCAGGGAGTCACTGGTTTGGTTCCTGGTCAGGGCACATACCTGGGTTGTGGGCCAGGTCCCTGGGGGTTGGAGGGGGGCACATGAGAGGCCATCACACATTGCTGTCTACATTTCTTTCCTCTCTAAAAATACATTAAAAATTTCTTTAAATAATACAACCATAACATTGTAATAAGCTTATGCATTGACAAGGAATATTAGGGTTGATCCTTTTAGAGACAGGAGGTGTTTTAGAATGAATGGGTTGGTGACTAAGGAAGGATGTACACACCTTGGGTCTTGCAGTTTATAATGATAAACTTCATAGAACTAGAGAGCTAGTAGGTTGATACTCTTCTGATAAAAGTTTTCCAGAAGATAAACCTGGGTTTCTGCCTTTAACCATTTGTTTGGAAGCTCAACGCGGCATTAATATTGTAGTTAAAAAGTAACTTGCTTACAATTGGCAGTCCACTTAAGAGCTATTTAAATTTCATGTGATGTATTTTTAAGATTTTAAAATTGCAGGTAAATGTGTATCTTAATGGTTAAGGCTGTGCACACTGACAACTAGAAGTTCTTGACTGGGAAGGTAAGGAGTTTTGAAGGTAATTTATGTGTATCGGTGTTGAGGGGGAAGGAATAATTCTTTCTGAAATAATTATAGGCCTATAATTTCCATCTGCAGGCAGTTTAGGTGTCAAGGCTTAATAGGAATCTGACAACAGATAGGATGTAAATTATTTCAAACATGCTTATTGTGTGTTAGGCACTTGTAAGCCTTTTTTCAAATACTAACTTATTCTTTGTAGTTTCTGTACTATTTTGAGTTCCACAACATTATTAGACTTGATAGTCTTTTTATGAGAACTGGGTTCGAGTGGTTGCTGTTGAAAATATAAATAATCGTGTAATTATTTTCCCCTGCATCTTATGACAGATATTTAATGAAACGAAATATGTAAAGACTATATGTCTATTTGAAGTTAGTGAGATGGAGCCTCACCCGTTACACTTAACGTTCATGGTTTTAAAAATGGTAGGATTTTGCTGCTTTTTGAAAGGTCAAATTGGAAAACAAAAGAATACATTTTTCTCAAGTGATTTCTGTAGCATTTATTGCAGTGTCGTTACATTTTATGCATCGTATTTCTCTCTCAAACTCATGGTGATATATACTGTAATATTTTTGCACCCTTGGAATGCTAGGTTTTTAAGTGCTGAATAAATGAAAGAATAAATGTGGAAGTGATTTAGAGCTTGGAGTGGTGATGTGAAGGTACTGTGCGGTGGGATTCCTGCACTTTCAAGAGTAGAAATTTAGATGTATGAACTAAATATATAAAAAAATTTGTGAATTCAGAATTTTTTGAACTCACTTTTCAGTGGCGAGACGAGAGGAAGTTGATAGTTGTAACATTCACATCTGGCGGTAGGCTGTCCAGTCCGACAGAAGTACGTTAATTTCATGCTCGGTTAGGCTGTTAACTACTGGGAAGATTATTGATTTACAAGGAACCGTATGGTACTTCTTGGCTGGAGGCTAGGAAACTCCAGATGACAGAAGTTTGAGTGGCTTTTTAAGAAAACGTCCTGTTTGGTTTCGGGTCGCTGAAGGGGAAAGGAGGCACTCCGCGGCACCGAGATGACTTTCCCACCGACGCCGTGTGCTCGCCAGGGGGCAGTAGAGGACGGGAATGCACGTCTCTACCCGCGGCGCGTTCCCCGTCACGTGACGCGTCGGTTTCCCCCGCCTCGGCCGCCACGCTTCCGGCCCAGGACTCACCCGGAAGTGGGGGGAGGGCGAGAAGGAGGGGTGAAGGCTGCCGGCGGGCGGCAGAGGGTGGAGGAAGAGAAGCGGCAGAGGTAGGAGTTGCCGCCGCCTCCGTCGCCGAGACCACTGCCGCGGCCACAGCCACCGGCGCTGCTATGATTTCTCCCGACGCGTGAGTTCGGAGCCTCCGCGCGTGAATTGGTCGCTGTCACGGGCTGCGTAGCTCCGGAGGTTTAACCGTAGGACGAAAACCAGGTTAGTCCTTTCTCGGCTTCCAGTCCTCCCCTTCCACTAGACCAGGGTACTGTATTGTCAGCCTCTACTACTGAGTGGGGCAAGAAGGTCATTTTAATCTGGGGCAGTCTCCGAACTCTCGGTTCTTTACAACTCCGGTGTTTAATCACGCTCGGGTTTTACCTCCCCTTACCCAGGATTGCCGATGGGAAATGAAGTCCCGATCTGTGTTAATTTCTTGTACCCTCCTGGGGTACTTTCCTGATTATCCGTGGCCTATCTCATTACCTAATTAATTGAAGGTACAAAAAAGGTCTGTGCAGGGTGTCGGAAGTTACACAGATTGATCATCATTTATGAAATAATATGTAAAAATATCTCGCTGCTTGTCTCGCTCTGCGAGGAGAAGCTAAACTGAGAGAGCGCTCTTGTTTCCCTCCATTCCATTTTGCCCATGCTGCCCCCATCCAGTAAAGTTACTTGCCCTCCTTGTCGCACCCGGTGGCATCTTTACATTTGTCACGTTTTCTCGTAGGCGGCGAGGTTATCTTAATCAACAACTCTTATTGTTTCACAAGTCACTAGTTTTCAGCACCTCGTCTTTGTTTTAATTACAGCCTGTTCACCTGCAGTAATATGGCTTTGTATTGAGAGTGTGTGCACAACATTTAATTAGGTGATAGTGATGTCTGAGGGGAGGTGGGGGACACACACAAAAAATACGACAGAGTCACTGGCCACAAAAGAGTTTGCACTGGAGTAGTTGAATTTAGTCCTGAAGACAATGGGTTAGAGCAGCTCCGCCAATTGAATAATTAGGCTACCTATCTCACCCTCTTTAAAGAATATTTCGAGCTGAGATTTTATTTTTTATCTTTCAGACTTTCTTATATGTACAGTGATGACATGAGAGGGCTTTTTAAAATACTGGCGAGTCTCACAATGGAGTAAGAAAGACTGATACACCCTTGTAGTCTCAACATATATTAGAAACAGACAGGCATTATGAGAATAGAGGGAAAGGAGCATTTGAACTAGGCCTTGATAAATGGATAGCGTTTACCTTTGTAGGGGAGGGCAGGACAGGTAGAAAAAATGCGAGCAAAGGCTTGGGGGGCCAAAAACATGCAGGACATCCAGCAACACTACTTCATCCCTATTTCTAACATAGTCACATGTTGAAAGATTTCACTGGTTAAGACAAAAAAAATACAGAATACAAGGCTGGTAACCAAAAGCTTATGTACATCCAGTCAAGATGGTGGAATAGAATAGAGTAGAATTGAAACATAAAAGCAAATTGAAATCACACATACTTTCTTCGCCTCGCAATATATCCACTCTTTTAAAGGTTTTTGTTTTTTGTTCTTCTGTATTAGTGAGACTTTGTAACCTTATTAACATTAAACATTTCATCCATAGCAAAAGCTTATATAAAGAAAAAATACATGAAATGACAAAGACAGTGTTAATGTATGATATTTATTTCTAATGTAAACTCAAGTCTAAAAGAGGAAAAAGTGAAGCTAGCTGTACTTCAATTCTGATTGAGTGTTGTGTCGAAATACACTTTGGAATCATTTTTATGTTTTTTTTTTATTTAATCTTTATTGTGTCTTTTCCATTACCATTTAGTCCCCTTATACCCCTCTCCCTTCATGGAGTCGTTTTTTAAATTGTTGGGAATGAATAACAACTTTGTCTAAGGTCAGAAGCCGTTCCAGGTTTTCCCCAAGGAATTTGTGCATTTCCTTTACTCTTCTAAACTGATTGCTCTACTAGTCTTTTTAACGTGATAGAAACGATTCTTTTCCAATCATAGTCTTTCCCCCCCCTTTTTATTGTATTTTTCCCATTACTATTTATCTCCTTTATACCCTCTTCCACCCACCTCTCCCTCCAATCATAGATTTGTGGCTTCTAGGTAGTGTTAGCTTAAACAGTAATCCCTCCACAGAGGATAGGTCTGTAATGCATGTACTTCTTTTAAAAGTACATGCAAGAAGCAGTGAAATTTATTTGAAAATGACAAGAGAGCAAGGAAAAATAACCCCGGCTTAACACACTACAATCTTTACTTCTCTAAGGGCTCTGAGGCAATACATTCCTTTTTTATAAATCCTTGTTTGGATTTGACATCTCAGTGAGTGACAATAATCTTTATTTGTCACTTGGTAAATTTTGAGAAGAGATTTGTCTGAGATAGTACAGGTACTGACATAGGTGAATAACATTTGGGAGTTTTGTCTCAAACTTGACTCATCTTTGTTAAAGGACAGTAGAACATTTAAAGGTTTCACAGAGTTTTGCTTCACTCAGTGATCTCTCTTAGGACATAAATCAAGATGGGGGCAGGGAGCGGGGAGGCAGGCAACAGTCAGGCCTATTCATTTCAGTTTACCATCCCAGCAGTCACGTTTTTCACTTACAAATTTGTCTTCAGGTTGACTTCATGTGATATAACTTACTGACTTGCTGAGATAGTATGGCAGGAAGTAATACATCACAATACCTTTGGAATGTGTTTCATTAAAGTGAAAGCGTAGATTTCCTTTCTGGTTTCATACATGTGTTCCCAGTTTCTCCAGCACTGTTAGAAAATGTAAGTGATTTCCTTATCCTGTGGGCTCAAATGTGTGGGAGATTGGTAGGTTACAGCAGTTTTCACAGATACTTCTTTCCTGGAAAGAAACAGTAAAATATCCCCATTTTCAACTAATTAGGTGCACTTTGTCCCATGTTTTTCACCCACATTGAGAATTATACAGCTATGGGTCAAGGATTTTTTAACCTGTTTTAAAATTTACAATTCTGTAGTGTAGAATTTTCACTTTTCCAAACCTATAATCAGAAGTGCATTTTAGCAATTAACTGATTGAAATAAATGGGTTATTTCACATCTTAGGGAAATTGTTTTAGTTTGCCCATTTACCATAGTTGATTTTGTTTGTGAAAACTAAAGCATTTGGTTTTATGCAGAATCAACCAATGAATGTATAACTAAGTGGAACAACAAATTGATGTCTCTCGCGCATGCTCTCTCCCTCTTTCTCAAATCAATAAAAAAAAAGAGTTGATTTTTTTTTCAGCAAACAAAGTCTTAACAGCTTAGCTGTTAAAGAGTTACACATGTAATCTCCTTTTTGACCCTTGGACTTAGACAATAGCAGGAAAAAAAGAAGGTATTTCATTGTTTTTGGTCATGCTAAAATTATTTGTGCTAAGAATTCTAATTGAATTATTAATTATTAATTTAATAATATAAATACAGTGTCCATTATTTATAAATATATTTATTATATTAAAACACTAATATTAATTTACTTGTATACAGCTGGTTTCACTTTGGTCAGTAAAGGCTTTCCCTTATTTTACTATACCACTTTACTGTTAATTCTAAATATCAGTTTTTAATTCAGACTTATAGCTACAATATCTTACTATTGATTTCTAATCACAACTGTACGCTCATTTTTATGTATTAACAATTGGATTGGTGTCACAGGTCTTCAAGTATTTTCCATCTACAGCAGTGTTTTTTCTTGCTTTTTCTAGTTACATGATAAAAGGATAAACCTTCGTAGTCTTCAGATAGTTTTAAAGCCTTAAATTCATGTATGATCGATAAAGGAAAAATTTGTTTAGTACAGTGTGTTATTTGACCTTGAGTATCAGGTTATCATTAGGATTGTTCACTGTGTTATTACAGAAGTACCCACAAATTCCTTTCTTATTATCTTTAGAGCAAATGGTAAGTTACGGGATCCTGAAATTTTTACTGTTTCTGTTGTTGTTGCAGATAAGGGAAGACCAGAGCCATTTCTCCGTCTGTTGTGGAAAAATAAATCTGGTACTTTGTCTGTTATTTGTACTTTGGTGAGAGTTGACATATACTTTCATAGGGCAAAATTTGCTTTAAAGATTTTATTTATTTAGTTTTTAGAGAAGGAAGGGAGGGAGAAAGAGAGAGAGAGAGAAAGAGAGAGAAACATCAATGTGCGGTTGCTGGGGGCCGTGGCCTGCAACCCAGGCATGTGCCCTGACTGGGAGTCGAACCTGTGACACTTTGGTTCACAGCCCGTGCTCAATCCACTGAGCTACGCCAGAGAGGGCTTCATAGGGCAAAATTTTATTCCTAGACCTAGCAAATGGCTAAACTGAGACTAGCTAGTCAGTCTGGCTTGAGAACCTGTGCTCTTATCTAACAAAAAAAATGAACTGAATTTTTTTCTTTAAAATAATTTTTATTGTTCAATTTCAGTTGTCCCCATTTCCCCCTATTACTGTCCCCTGCCCCCCTTGCACATCAGTCCTACTCCCCCATTGTCCATGTCAATGGGTCCTTTATACATGTTCCTTGACTTGACCCTTCCCCTTCTTTCCCCCATTTTCTCCCTCCCTCTCCCTTCTGATCACTCAATTTGTTCTTTATTTCCACGTGGACTGCATTTTTTTTAAAAGAACATAGACATTTGAGCAGAATTTGGGCTAATGAATTAAGTGCCTTGTTTGTCCTAAAGAGAGAAATGCCCAGTTATCTTCTTTGGAAGTATGAACAAATTGATTTGATGATTAAAGGTTAAAGTAGTGGTAGCCGAAAATTCCCTTGGTAGTTTCAAACTAAATTCAAAAGTAAGCACCCATAGTTTTGTTTTCTGATGTTTAAGATGGTGTTAGTCTTATTTTATTTGTATTCTCAGAGTGTTCCAGGAAAAGAAATGGTTTATGTTTGTTTGTTTATTTGTTTTATTTATTTACTTTTAGAGAGAGGGGAAGGGAGTGAGAAAGAGAGGGAAAAGAACATTGATGTGTGAGAGAGACATCGATTGGTTGCTTCTGACACTGGTGCCCCCAACTGGGGACCTGGCCCACAATGCAGGCATGTGCCCTGACTGGGAATTGAACCAGCAACCTTTCGGTTTGCGGGCCGCCACTCAATTCACTAAGCCACACCAGCCAGGGCTGTTTGTTTTATCGTCTTGAAAGTGAGCACATCTTTGAACTTGGTTAGACTTTGATGT